TTGGATTTGAGTTGAGGTAACAGGGTTTGCGAGTGGTATCTGGCTTCTTTAGAATGATTACAGCTAGTGTGTGGATTATATAGCTCCCTCTACGCAGCTTCCGCATGTCAAAATTGTTGACCTTTCAGGAAATTACACCTTCCATGCCACTTTTGTCTATGGGGAGACTTCTTATCAAAAAAGGAGATCTCTGTGGACCCTTTTAGGTATGATTGTTGTTGCCACAAATGAAGCTTGGGTAGTCATAGGGGATTTTAACATATTCAGGTGTGAGGCAGATAAAATAGGAGGAGCCAAGCCTCTTAATATTACTATGAATGAATTTAATGACTATTTAAATGATGTGGGATTGGAGGAAATTCATACTCCTAGTCACTTCACTAGGAGTAAAATTGAAGAAATGGAAAAACTTGACTAGGTTTTTGGAAATTCAGAATGGTTCAATCTCTTCCCTCTTAGTAAAGTTACACATGATTTTTGCTATAAATTTGATCACAAAGTGGTAGTCATCTTGAATGCCGCACATTCTTCTCAATGCCCTGTGGTGAAGCATTTTAATTATCAAGCAGCTTGGGTACTTAAAGATAGCTTTAAGGAAGTGGTAAAACATGCTTGGCAGGATTCTCATTAGCTTGAAGGGGTTTCTTTATTTCAAACTTTAGCTTTGAAGTGGAATAAAGAGGTTGTGGGAAGTATTCCTAAACAAAAAAAGGAGCTCATTCACAAAATTGAAGGGATTGAATGGAAACGTGCTGCCACAGGGGGATTTACAAGAAATGGCCTCTTCCAATTAGATAAGTAGGAATACTCTAAGCTAGCTTCCCAAGAAGAATTATTATGGTTCCAAAAGTTTAGGTATAACTAGCTTAAATAGGGGGAATAAAAATACAAGATATTTCCATGCTTTGGCTTTTATTAAAAAAAGACGATAAAGATTGGACTCCCTTAAAGATGATAGTGGGTCTTCAATTTTTGATCCTTTAGTGTTAAAGCAAATGGCGTGAAATTTCTTTCAAGACCTTTACACTAGAGACCTCTCAGTTATGTCAACATAGCAGTGGCCAAACCTGTTCCCCTCTCTACTTGAGTCTAAACTGGTATGGATTCATCGTACAGTAACTGATGTAGAGATAAAAAATATAGCTTTTGCTATGGGCGCTTTCAAATCCCCAGGTCTTGATGGGTTACAAGCACACTTCTTCCAAAGCCAATGGGATATTGTTGGTCCCAAAGTTTGTGACTTTGTGAAACGAGCCTTTAGCAGTTAAAATATCATTAAAGAGGTGAACCACATAAATATTGTGCTATTATCAAAGATTAAGAATCCTTCCTCCCTCAAAGATTTGAGACCTATATCTTTATGCAATGTAAGCCTAAAAATTATTACCAAACTTTTGGCTAGCCGTCTTCAACCATTTATGGGTAAGTTAGTAGGCCCGCAACAATGTAGTTTCATTCAGGGGAGATCCAGTTGTGATAACATTATTATAGCACAAGAAGCTATTCATATTATGAGAGTGAAGAAAGGCTCGAATGGTTTTTTGTAGTGAAGATACATATGGAGAAAGCGTACGATCGTTTAGAGTGAACTTTTTTGAAGCAAACTCTCTTGGATATTGGCTTAAAAGATCATTTCATTAATGTTACTATGTCTTGTGTGACTACAGCCACTATGAAAGTTCTTTGGAATGGAGACCATAACCAAGAATTTCAGCCCTTTCGTGGAGTTAGACAAAGAGATCCCTTTCTTCCTTATCTGTTTGTCTTGTGCATGGAAAGATTTAGGCAAGTTATTCAAAAAGAATGTGAATTAAAGAACTGGAAACCGCTGTATTTCGTGTTAATGGTCCATCAATCTCACATCTTTTCTTTGCGAATGATCTCATTTTATTCGGGGAAGCCTCTTAAACTCAAATAGAGGTCATAAAGGTAGTTATGGAAAGATCTTGTTCTGCTTCAGGACATAAAATCAATCTATCAAAGTCTAAAGCCTTCTTTTCCAAGAATCTTCACTTCAATAAGGTTATTGAGATGAGTTATTCTCTGGGAATTGGCATCACTGCTGATCTAGGCTATTTTGATGTCCCTCTTATCTACTCCAGAATCACCAAGGCCACATTTCAACTAATTATTCAGGGAGTAAAGAGGAGACTATCTACCTGGAAAGGTAAATATTTGAATAAAGCAGGGAGAATGGTCCTTATCAAAGCTATTCTCAATGCTATGCCAGCTTATCATATGTAGTCAGCACTTTTGCCCAAGGGAGTCTTACTTGGACTTGAGAAGATTAGCAGGAACTTCTTTTGAAGCCAAGATGAGGATGCTAGGAAGATGCATCTTATTGCTTGGAAGACTATTATCCAAAATAAAGAGAGCAGTGGGCTAGGTGTCAAACAGCTAGAGGTGCAAAACAAGGTGTTCATCATGAAGTTATGTTAGGGATTGATTTCTAAACCTAATGCCCTCTAGGTTCAATGTTTAAGGGATAAATATCATTATGGTTCTAGAATGACTCCTATGGTTTCTCCTTGAAAAAACTCTTCAATTATGTGGAAGGCCATCATGTCGGTTTGGACTTCTTTTATTGAGGGAGTTGGTAGAAAGGTAAATAATGGATTGACCACCAAGTTTTGGTGGGACAAATGGAGTCACTTTAATTAGCTCCTTATTTCTCTTGTGGATAAGAAGTTGGATCAGATTAACCATAATGCCAAAGTTAGAGATTTCGTAATGGAGAATAGCTGCTGGAACATAAGAGATGGGACAAATTCCTTCCTATATGGGTTGTCACCTCTTTACAAAATTGCAACACCCTTGTAAGTCAAAGGGAAGACAATTGGTACTAGAGAAATGCCTCTGATGGTTCGTTTTCAGTCAAAGCTACTTATAAGCTTATCACTTAGGTGGCAAATAATCAAGTTAACCCTTATTGGAAGAAGACTTGGAGTTGGAAAACTCCTAAGAAAGTAAAAATTTTTATATGGCAAGTCAACCATGGGAGAATTGTCACTAACTCACTCAGAACTAAGAGAGGATTATCCAATAATCCTAACTACCCTTTCGAGTGTGGATATGAGGAAAAAATCATACATATTTTGAGAGATTGCAAAGTAGCCAAAGATGTGTGGAAATCAATTGTTAACACTGACGATTATCATTCTTTTTTCTCTAATGATGTACAGGGTTGGCTCTGGTGGAATGCATCACACCAGTTAGGGAGGGATAGATGGGCAAGATGGTTGTGGACCATAATTTTTAGTCTTACCTACTGGCTCCTATGAAACCGAAGATGTAAGTGAGCTTTTGATCATGAGATTCAATCCTCTTCTGACTTGATGCACCATTGCCTTTCCTTCTCTTTGAAGATGCCACTAGTACGAAGTGGAATCATAAAGTTTTTCCCCATGAGGTCCAACTAAATTTCAAATGGTGCCCAACTCCTTTATATACTATTAAAATTGATGTCGATAGATCTGTTTGGGAATAGAACCATGCAGCATGTGGGGGGAGTTATTAGAAATGAGAATGGAGACTAGATAATGGGCTTTAAGAAAAAATCTAGGATACTTTCCTCTAACTGCAGTAGAACTATTGGCTATCAAAATAGGATTGGAGGTTTGTGCCCAGATGAATTTGACTAGAATATAACTCCACTCTGACTCTCTTGATGCTATCAATATTTTCCTGCATGAAATTGGGGGGATCACCTACTGAAGGAGACTATTTCTTTTATCAGAGATTTACTGTATTGTGTACATGACATTCAAATCCTATACTCACCTCGTGAAGCTGTTTGACAAGCAGAACTCTTAGCACGACAAGCACATGGATGTGTGCGGACTTTGGAGCTATTACCAAACGTTCCTCTTGATTGTGTAGATTTGCTTCAGGAAGATAGGCTTCGTGCTTATTAGTTCTTTTTAACTTTATCTTCTCTTTTTTCTTAGGCTTCTTAGTCTGCCATTGTAATGTTAAAATAAAAAGTTGTCAACTTTTCTCAATCCGTTAAATAACCTAACATTGACAATTAAGTTTTAGGATAAAACTTAAGGATTAAATTGATAAAAATTAAACTTGAGAGATAAAATTAATAATTAAAACAAATTTGAGAGATTGAAAATCTCATTATCCTTATATAAAATTCTAAAATGACCCTTAATTAAATTTATTAATTTTACCTTTAAATCTTCAAGTCAAGCATGTCAATTGGGAACATTTTTAAAATAACTAATTAATATTTTTTTTATAAACATAAAGAATGGGTTCCATGGTTGAGATTTGAGAGCAATGGGTAGAAATCTTACTATTCACAAAAAATTCTTAAATAAATAAAATACATCATATTATTTATAGTTTGTTTAATAAAAATATAATATGTAAATAATATTAAATATAAATTGATTATGACATTAATATTGGTAGAAGTAGAAAAGATAAAAAATTATATAAACATCTTGTTAGAAGAATAAAATTAATTAAAATAATATTATATAATATTTTATTTAGATGATATGAAATATTTTAATTAAATAGATTATAAATGATGTGATGCATATAATCTTTTTAATCACTTTTCACTTTTCACGAGAGCATTTGCATTCACATTAACATTATTAATTATTAATTAATATTTTATTAAATGTTGTAAGATTTCCCATGCTAAGATGGACTAAAACTTCCAGAAAGTGTTTCCCGAGTGCTTGTTCTAATATCGTTCCCCACTTTCATGTTTAATTACCGTTGCACTCATTTACCTTTGTTTTATTATTAATCACTGTCGATAATTACCTATAATTATTATCATCACTCATTTTTTAATTTTAAATCTGTTTTTAAATTACATAACTAAACATATTTTCATTTTATTTTTATTTTAAAAGAAATTTTAAATACTGTATTATAAAATAATTTTTAAAAATAAAAAAAAAATGAGAAAGTCCTTAATTACCGTTACATTCATTCACCTTTGTTATTGTGTTTTTGTAATTTTTAGTTTTCATTCTGATTCTAAAGCGAACCCGTCTGGATCATCCTCATTGTGGAGTTGACGAAAATGGCTGTGACATGGCAAGGCGTGGGTTCTTCTACAACAGAGTTGAACCAGGAAGTTCAAACTCGACCGCTTCATGAACGAATCGCGATTGTCACTGGTTCGTCCCGCGGAATCGGTCGAGGGATTGCACTTTATTTAGCCTCACTCGGTGCGAGAATCGTGGTCAATTACACCTCCAATTTGGCCCAAGCGGAGTCAGTCGCCGCTCAGATCAATTCCTCCTCCGCCGACGGCGGAAATCCACGAGCCATTGTCGTCAGGGCTGATGTTTCTGATCCGACTCAGGTGAAGTCTCTCTTCGACGAGGCTGAGAAAGCGTTCAACTCGCCGGTTTATATTCTGGTTAATTCGGCGGCGATTGTTGATAGCAAATACCCTTCTGTAGCCAACACTTCCTTGGAGGACTTCGATCGAACTTTCAGGTATGCGATTCGTCTCTTTCTACTTTCACGGCCGTATTTGAAATTGCGAAAAAACATAGAGTTGTTTATTCTTTATTATACCTTATTTACTGGAATTTTTAATTTATCTCAGAATTTAATTCTCTTGGTACCTTCTCCTGAATAGCATTGAAACGTGTTTAAGCCTTTTTGGGCTACGGATTTAGGATCACATGATGGGAGCATCTGAGCGTTTGTTTTCTTTTCACCTTCTCTTACATCAGTTGTTGTTGATACCAATGAGATGATTTTCCTTCCCTAATCCTGTCTGCATGCAAATCATAAAATTGAGAAGACTCCAAATATATTATAGTATTATACGTAATGCTGTATTATCGCATATTAATCTGTTTTGTCTTATTTTTTCCATGAAATTATTGTAAAATAACCCAATTCATCTTGTGAATATCGAAAATTATACCATGCAGAAGGCACAAATAGCTGTCACAAAAGGTTACGGATATTGTGTTGGGTTGAGTGCATGTTTTTTTTTTTTTTTGGTCTTGATCATTTAGTTTCGGCAATAATCATGCTATGCGCTTCTATGAAAATCACAAAATTTAGAATGTTGTGGAATCTTTCATGTCCAATTCCTGTTCATTGGAGTGGAAATTTGTGAATCTCATGCTCAGTTAAACATATTTTAAGGAATAGGGAGAATGACAGTTATTAGCATAAACATATCAATTGAAATAATTACATGTGCAAGAGTTTTAATTGTAAATAAGGTATTTCAATTCTAAATGTAACTCTTAATTTATAAGTATTTGAATTGATATTTGTAACTCAATTATGTAAAAATTTTATCGACAATCTTGTTGTCATTAATTTAATCAAGGACTGATTTAGAGGGGGCTTTTAAAAATTATATTGTTTTTATTTGTTAAAAATGCTAAAACTAATTTTAGACCCCTATTGTAATTTAGTTTTTCATGTTCCCCCTTATGTCCAGTTATTGATCCGTCCCTGCACTTAATATTGCATATAACTTTACTGTCATTGTCCTTTAGGATTATTGTATAGACTGATTCATTACTAGAAGGATCCTAATAGAGGAGGTGATGCTGTTTCATAATGGTGTGAATACAAGAGGGGCATTTCTGTGCTGTAAAGAGGCAGCAAGCAGGTTGAAACGTGGAGGTGGAGGTCGGATCATAATGCTGTCGTCATCAGTGGTGGGTTCACTCAGAACAGGTCACGGCGTGTACGCGGCGTCAAAAGCGGCGGTGGAGACGATGGTGAAGATCTTAGCGAAAGAGCTGAAAGGGACGGGAATCACGGCGAACTGTGTGGCGCCGGGGCCAATCGCGACGGACATGTATTTTTCTGGAAAGAGTGAAGAGCAAGTGAAGAAGGCTATAGAAGAATCTCCTCTGGGTAGGCTTGGTGAGACTAATGATGTGGTTCCTCTTGTGGGATTCTTGGCCTCTGATGCTGGTGAGTGGGTCAATGGTCAGGTTGTTCGTGTTAATGGTGGCTATGTTTGACAGAGGGAGAAGACATGGCCATTGTCATCGCTGAACCTGGTCAAACGTATAGAAAAGCCCATCGTCAATCCCCACCCAGACAAGTAAAAAACCAGGCTCTTAATGAAAAGTTTTTATATGGATTCAAAATACTACGTCATTCTAGTTTATTTAATAAAATTGCACCAGTTTTTGTGAAAGTGACCACATTACATGTCACTCATATTGTACCTCGTAATTATTCATAGTAGCTAACCAATTTAGAAGAGACTTGGGTTAAGTCTACCATCAAATATCGGATACTTCTACCCTAACCCTTCTTGCAGCATCATCATGGTATTCATGTGGAAAGGCTTCTCAGTTATGTCTAGAGGGTGATGCTCTATATCGGCTATGCTTTTCCTTTTTCAATTCTCCTTACTTGATAGTAGAGGAATATCTGACTTGTTAATTTGTTTTAAATGTTTTTCTAACCCAATTTTAATTTTAATTTTAAAATTTATTATGGTGGTTATTATAAAAATAAATAAATGTTTTAGGATAAAAATAGAGAAAATGACAAATAAATCATCAAAAAACGAGAAAATTCTTTCGAAGTCTATACAAACTTGTCGACATAATTTTCTTTTTGATGAAATGACCATAATGTTTCAAAAGTAATTGACAACTTCAGAATAATAGATCACCACTTGTATTAGATGAATGACTAAAATGGAATGATTATGTTCATTTTATAAGTATTGAATCTTGAAGTTAAATGACAATTAGAGAAATAAATGACTACTTTTTTTAATACAAATAACTAAAATAGTGTAGGAAATTACTACTTGTAAAAACTCAACTGAGAAATGAAAGTAGTCCTTTCCTATACGTTGTTTTAATTATTTGCATAATGAAAGTAATCATTTTTATTTTGAAATTGTCATTTACTTTTGGAGACAATATGATCATTTTGTGAAGAAAATTAACGTTACGTGTTAGGGACTTTAAAATAATTACCTAGATGGTTCTCTTTTGTCATTTGCCTATTTAGATGGGATTAATTTGTTAGTCTTCCTAAAAAATATAGAAACCTAAAAAAAAATAAAAAATTCTGGTCTTAATCTTAAAGTTTAGAAATCAAGATAAAATACACTTTCAAAATTATTTTAAGATATTTTACATATTAAAAATGAAAAGAATATAACAATATGCATCATTTTATTTTTTAAGAAAATATCTACAATAATGTCAGCAAATATAAATAAAAATCTTTTAATGTTCACTATTTAAAATTTCCTGAATTTGAGAGCATATGAACGTTCATGATTTTACCATATGATAAATAATACTATTTGCTTTGTGTGAGTGGCTTCAATAATGTAATATTTGGGTGTTAAATATTGGATATTTTTTTTTATTCCAAAAAAAATTGGTGAAAAGGATTTTGTTTAGAATGAAAATTAGTCCCACAGACCAAATACAATTGAAGGATCAAAGTTAATATTTTATTATTAAACAATTTGAATAAATGATCGAAATGCCTCTCTCTTTAAACCAGTGAAATTGAAAAAAAAAAAAGACTGTTTGTTTAACACATACACCTAAATCAAAACCTTACACCTCAAGCTAATAGCATTGTACCTCGAGACTAGAAGCCTTGCATCCAAGTGCAAGGCTTTTGCTAAGGTGAAAGACTTCTGACTTGGGTATATAAGTTAAACAAACAACTTTTATTTTTTTTCTTCAATTTCATTGGTTTAAAGAGAAGAGTATTTCAATCATTTGTTTAAATTGTTTAATAAATAAAATATTAGTTTTGGTTCTTCAATTATATTTGCTCCTTGGAATTAATTTTCCTTCTAACGAATTCTTTTCACCAATTTTTATTTTATTCTATCACCCACTATCTTGAAAATTCTGAGATATTATTATTTTTCGTCCAGGCAAATGGTTGAGTGTATGCAAAATTATACATTTATATTTCTCTAGCTACATTCATAATGTCACCCATAAACTAAAATCAAATCTAATTTAAAAATTGAGGAAAATTATAAACAACTGCAGATTAATTTTTCTGGTTATCATTAAGCCCATTGATGATAGTCTTATTCTTCGTAATTTAAAAAGTATAATTTATAATTATAAATTATATTTTTTAGTGTTAATATTTTTTTTTTGACAAAAATGTTTCGGGGAATCAGATTTTTAAGACTTACCAGGATCAAAAGCCTGGGCACCTGAAAGGATTAAATACAGTTCTATATATTACATGCAATCTAAAAATTAAGTAGCAAGGTTTATTATTTATTATTATCATAATTTTTTTTATAATTTTTATATACTAATCATAATTTATATTATATTACAATAATTTAAAATTTTGAATAAATCATCCCGTCCTTCGTGCTGCAGAATTGACATGGAGTGACGACTCGCAACCTAGCGCCAAAGGATATTAAATTTGAGACCACCGTTTCGCCTTCGCGCGAGGGAGAACAATGGAACACCGGCAAAGTACAGTATCTTCAGCGTATAAGCGACCATCTCTGAAATCCAATTCTCAATTCAACAAATCTCGCCATCTGGAAAGACAAGGTTGTTTTCCTCACTTCCCCTTTTTTCTGCGAAGATTATCACTCTACTTGTCTGATCATACGAATATCACTTCAATTTTGTTTTTCATTTAGTCAATTGGTATAAGTTCTTTTTATGTTTGATTCCCCTTCTGTAAGTTGTTTCGGTCATGTTTGGTGGTTTGATTTTCTATAACGATGAATTATATTGCAATTTATAGTTGAGGGAAAATTGCTACAAAAGGGTACGAGAGGGCCGGACTCGCTTACTCTGGAAAATGAGAATAGCTACTTCGCAGTCATGCAAGCAAAATCAAGAGGTTGTCTTTGCCACTTAACAATGCCTTATTTCTTTTTTTTTTTTTAATTTGAAAGGATTTATGTGCAGTTTAATGGACGTTAGCTTACGCAATTTCTTATCCTCAATTTACCTATGACAGCTGGTTGCTTCCTATATGAGTTGGATGATGTGATCTTATGTTGGTTTTGCTTTTGCTTATAACACCTTGCAGTTTGGTGATAGACTTTTTCTTTTTTGTAAGCTTATTTGGATATCTTGATTTTTAAGGATCTATTCTAGTTGGCTAAGTGATTCACTGTACTCGACATTTCCCTATAATTTATTTTTTTCTGACTAATTTATTTATTCCGAAAGAATGGGCTGTTATTGTGGGTGTAATGTTGACTGGAAAATATATAGCGGGAGCATCAATGCTAAGTTAAAGCCTCATGTCTGAACTAGAAAGATGACCTGTACTATGCTAAACAAAAATGTTATCGACCTTGAGCTGGTACTGATTCAAATTCTGCAGCCTGTAGACCTTGGTTTTACGCTGCAAACCATGTGCAAGGCTGAAATGCCATTTGCAAACATTTTAGATGATTACATGTATTCTTTTCAAATTTATAGTTCATTCAATTGTGCTTCTCTAGTTTAATGGAAGTTTAAATTCAGTCCCTTTGGTTCCATTTTAAATTTCTTCTGGTTTTCAAATAGATAAGATCAAAATGATTACATTTTGATGCACGATGTTGACATGGATTGATGTGATTCTATATTAGATGTAGAGTGCCATGTCAGTAAACTTTAGTGCCACATCATCAGAATATTTTTCATTGGACCATGGGTGACAGAATTTGCCGTTGACAATTAAAAAGTTCATTAATGATGAGGCTCAATTGGAAGGATTTTGAAACTAGGTGAAGGACTAGGGGAATTGAATTGAACATTCTAAAAGACTAGAAGAAGCAAAAGTGAATTTTAGTTTCAATATTAATTCTAGGTATACAGCAATGTTCCCATAGATCGAAAGACGTAGTTTAGAATAACTAGGGAGATATAGCCATTTGCCAACAATGTGTATGCTCAAACGGATTGATCCCTAGTGAAGTTAACACCTAAGAGATCTATTTGGCAATATCTCATGTTGGAAGCAATTGCTGATAATATGGTATTGTTGATAAAATTTGAAAATGTAACTGCTTTATTACTCAGACCTTCAACAGATCAGTTTATAAGACTTTGAGGGACTCTAGTTACATTCTTGTATCTTAGGATTATCCTAGATGTGGTTGCATTTAGCATCTTTTGACTATTTACCTGGTGGCAGGATATAATCAGATCTGCACTCCAGGATATTGTATCTGATGAACTTAAGAAAATGAAGGAAATTGTCATTTTATAACCCATCTAAGAATCCAACTTCTGATTCTGAGCTTGACGACATCCTATGGGAATACGATGGTGTTCATACTACTTACCAGGGTGAATGTGAAGAGATGCTGCTCGAAATGCAAAGGATATTTTATGAGGATCTAAAAGCTGAACCAAATATAGAAGGTAAAATTATGCTACCTGTTTCAAACTATTTTTAGCTCTTCCAAAACTGTATCACAGTAGAACTAAACTATTACGTTAGGCTCTTGGGAACTATGCTATAATACAAGGTATAAAGGTGCAAGTGTTTCTTAAGAACCCAGTAGTGGTTTATTTATTATTTTTGTTTGTCTGTTCTGATTATATTCTAATCAGTATTTGGTTATCTGACTTTATCTATTAACCTGTCTATAGTCTAATCAGTATTTGTTTATGAGCCTATGTACTTTAATATCTTCTCATCATTTGATATCTCTTTAATATGCTTCACCCTCAATTATTTTACTGATAATGGAAAAGATTTTGAATTATCTTGTAATGAGAAATCCATTCTTTTCTTAATATCCTGTTACTTTGGATTCTGTTTCACTGGACAGTTGATAGAACCTTCAAATATTTGTGGGCAAGGTGACTTGGCAATATCTGAAAGACATTATTTAAGTTATGCATTTATTTACTTCTCTACACGCCTAAATAGGTTTTGTCCATTGATGTTGTCGTTTTGGTGACTAGTTCTGAGAAGATAAAGAGATGAACCATGTGAAAGAGCTGAGAGTTCTTAGGTGAACGAGAACAGGAAACACTCATTTAGAACACAGAGAGATCTATGAATGGAAGAAACATTTTGTTGGAAGCCTATTGCGGGAGTTCAAAAAAAAAAAAAAAAAAGGACATGCAACTGCCAGTTTGACTTAGCTGTTGTGATCGTCTTACTTCACTTATTTGTTTGAATTTCTTACTTGTCTCCTTGCAGCCATCGATTGCATAAGTGAAACATGGCAAGATGAAGAAGATGAGTTCTTGGCTTGTGCACTTTTTGAGCATATGCAACTAAATTCAGAGGAGGTAAATTTTTTACAAGCATGGCATTTTTATGCAAAAAAGTGCAGCATAAACATAGTTATTTGCATGAATTCATGTTAAACGTCATATATATATAGTGACAAATTTTCTGGTTGGTGACAATATTGGAAGTATGGGATTTTGATATGGGGCTTTATCTTGAGCTCTCCAACCTTCTAGCTTTGAGGCCTGATTCTTCCTGGTTGCCATCACAGGGTCTTCTTTGAAAGCTAGCATAAAGACAGCTTGCATGGGCAATGAGGGTGCTAAATATATGATGGGGCAAGAATCATCTTATTAGAACTTATTAAAAAATGGCTGCCTCATATCTCTTTTTGCCATGCTTTAGTTTATCATCCACATCATCTTTTAATCAATATTTTCACTGGCATCGCTATACTACAACTTCCCTGGAACCTGGATGCTGCATTTATGTTATGTTGCAAAAGTTGTCCATTTTGTAGCCTCTTCACACTCTTTTTTCTTTCAAACAGAATTGTTTTCCTTTCCCAAATTAATTTGCATGAAGACTTTCATTTTGATTATTAAAATTTGGAAATGATGATAGACACAAAGACAAGAGATCTGGTGCCCTATTTGCAAACAAGGAGAGCTTAAAGAGAATCGTGATCTTATATACTGCACCCGTTGTGAACTTCGACTAAGTAAAGCCAATGAGGTACTCACTTTTCCTTGCCTTGTCAAGAATGTTATACTCTACCATTTAAGAACTGATTCATTTATTTAATTATGGCTTATGAGCTTCTAATGACTTTCAGGATGTGGTTTTAGAATTATGAAGTCGTAGTCCCTATCAGTAAATCTAATGACGTTCAGGATGTGGATTTCATAAGTTTATTAGAGATTAATAGTGGATTTCATAAGTTTATTAGAGATTAATCTTCTGAGATTTATCTTTTCTTGCATAGCTATATAAGCTAGAATTGTGCAAAAGGTGTGTGGTAAGGTGTATTTAGATAAGTGTTAACTAAGCCTTAGTTTTGGAACCAAAACGTGTCTGGTGATATCAATGTCAGTGTTGATCCTTTGGAAGTATCTTGGTTTATGAGAGACATGTTATGGGTTCATTGTGAAAAAGGAGACGTCGAAGGTTGAGAAAAATAGAACGTAAAAAGGGGTTTTAAAGATAAAAAAATGGCCTTCGTGTTTCAACTTTTAAAATGTGTTAAAAGAAAAAAAAAAAGGCATTAGATATTAACAAGTGCAGAACAAATATAACGATATAATATATATTATAGGAAAAGGATAAAAACTAAAGGGACCTTAGTATTCTCTTCTACTGCATCTGTATGCTATAAATTATAATGGTTGATTACCATGATCTTTTTATATTCTTTCGTTGGAGATATTCCCTCACTTGGTGGTAATTTCTGTCTCTAATAATACATCTGCCTTTACTGTAACAAAACTAGTTATAATATTCTAATTATTGAAATTTCAGCTTACTTTGGACTTCTTGCGAGGTCGACTAGCTGATGCTTATACTGAGCATTTTAACAAAGGCTGCAGATTGAAGCCCAAATTTTGTCTGGAGACAAGATTTAATTTAACAGCATTGTATATTTCATGTGAAGGTTGTGATACATTTGAAATTGTAATTTAAAATTATTGTTGAATTTTTTTTTTAAAAATAATTTGGGTCTGTTTAGGTTTGGCTCAATGAGTTAATTGTAATTCTTCCTATTCCTATCCCCAAGAAGGATCCTAATCTCCCTAGTGTTTGAAAGTAGTTTGTAAGTTCTAATATGAAGATAGATTATAAAATTGTGGTTGGCTCTTTAAAAATTAAAAACCAGGAGAAATGAAAGGTAGGAAAATTATTTGAGCCTTATGGTAGCATTTGGTATAATATATAAAATTTTAAAAACCAAATTAATTGTTTCAAATAATAATAATAATAATATCCATTCATTTTACTTTTGTATATAATATATTGAAATATTGATTATTCTGTCAAGTTATCGCATCCGAATTACCCCATATGGATTGCAAAGTGTAGCCTTTGGAATCGTTGTAACTTTTTTGCTTTTGATAATTTTTACAGCCAAATAAGTGAATATATTTCGTTAAAAGAATTACTATGTAACTTTTAATGCTGTTTGAAAGCCATAAGAACTTTCATGCCCGAACTTGGCATTGAGCTATTTGTTACAAATTATATATATATATATATAATTTACAATTGATATTACCAATTCTATTTAGATTTATATTTATCCTGGATTCAAATTCATGCTTTTTTTTTTGGATAATACAAACTCTTGCTATTTTTGTTTTTGGTGAAAAACTCTTGCTATTTTACTTGTATTGTTGCTCTGTACGTTGCGTGTGTTTTTCATTAATTTCTTATCAAAACGCAAGCTATGGCTATGTTTATGCCAAACTCTCTTCGGCTGAAGTACTAGTTTCTTAGATTTCCCCCCTCTTTTAGAAAGGTAAATAATAGTTGGCAGAATAGCATTTAAATCTCAAAATATTGATTTAATGATAATGATAATGATAGAGTTTTAAAAAAATTTCTGAAATATAAATTACAAATATTGATTCAAATTATTACAAACAAGATCTCAATCATAAATTAAAATTTACATTTGAAACTTGAATACTTTATCCGCAATTAAGATGCTTAAACTTAGATTGATATTTATAATTTATTTTTTTAAAAAAATTTCATAAGAAACTATTATTCAATCAATCTTTTTCACAATTTCTTTGAATCCCATTTATATTAGTGTCACATCATGGACATGGTACTTTCTTTTCGCGCCAGCTGCAAATCCAGTTTTGCATTCGATAGAGCTCGGAGCCCGGTAGTATAAATTATAAAAATTATTTATCTCTATTTCCGCCGAAATCATATTATCATGTGTTTTATTGCCTAAACTTTTATTTCTCTCTATTTTATTTTCTTGGATTAAAATATAATTTTGCTCTTAAATTATTTTTAGTAAAATAATGTTATTCCTAAATTATTTATCGTAACAATGTTATTCATAAACTAATTAAATAAGAGCAATGTCATTTCCACTGTTTAAACATTCATTGTTATAGTTAGTGAGATTTAATTTTCATAAGTTAAGGTGTAATTTTGTTCCTAAACTATTTTTAAAATAATAATGTTGCCCTTACCGTTTAAAAATCATAAAATTAAATAAAAATAATTATGATAATATTAAATTTATATATAGATATAAAATTATAATAATATTAAATAGAAATAATATTAAATATATATATATAAATAAAATAAAAAAATTTATAATATGGTAATAAAATGTCATAAATTAATAATATTATGATTTAAAATTTTATAATGGATTTTAGTTACATTAAATATGGTAGGTTCAAAATATTTATATTTATATTTATAATTATCTCAGCCCACAAACCCATTAGAAAATCACTGACTCTCTCATGGGACGCCGCCGACCTTCAAGATTTTTACGTCGTCCTCATGGATGACTCCGCCGTCTGCAACATGGCGTTTCATGTCCTATAAGTAAGTTTTTGTGACTTGTATTTAATTATTCATTAATTAACTCTTATTGTTTTGTTTCTTTTTAATTGTTCGCTAGCCGTCATTTGATTAAAATGCAGGAAGAGAGGCGTGAAGGAAAACCCAACGCTAAAATGGAGGTGGTCGGAAAAGTTTCAATGGACTTGACAATGGCGGAATTGCTTGATAAAGAATTTATATTTTTTCTTATATTTATTTTATATATACATTTAAAATTATTTTTATTTAATATTATTGTAATTTTATATTATATATACATTTAATATTATTATAATTTTATTTTTATTTAATTTTATGATTTTTAAATTGTGAAAGTAACATTGCTTTTCTGAGAATAATTTAAAAACAAAATTACATCTCAATTCATAAAATATGAGTCACACTAGTTATAGTAACATATGTTTAAATAATAAAAATAATATTGCTTCAATTTAATTAGTTTAGAGAAAATATTACTACGATGAATAGTTTCACAATAACATTGCTTTTTTGAGAATATTTTAAAAGCAAAAATGTATCTTAATCCTATATTTTTCTGAAAGTGTTTATGATTCTTTTAGATAAACTAATGAGCTCGCCAGCAAATATATTAATTCAGATTTCTGTGGTAAATTGGTCCCAAGAGCCCTCCAATGTTAGCGTAGATTTCGCACCTAAAAGGTCTCTTTTAAAAATATTTATAAATTACCCTTTGTAAAGCATATAACCAAATAATTACCAACTGACTTGTAATTTTGTAGTACTAAAAGAAATTGAATACTATTATAAGATTTTTCAAAAAAATAAATAGCTATTGTCTATGTCTTGAGCTCGAAATGAAATCAATTATTATTGTAACAAGTGTTCTTAATATAAATGCTGTGTTGAACTCAGGCTGGCAATAAAGGAAAAAAGCAGACTCCGAACAAGACAATGAACTCCAAGAGCTTGAGGGAGGGAGGGAGGGAATGAGATTCATAAGGCAAAGAATTCTAACTCTTATAACTACGAACTGAAAAGGCATAAAGTTACAATTTAGAATAATATACTAACAAGCTACATGACGCAAAAATATTACAGGCTGAATCAAAACCATCAAATAATACTCTACATTAACTTGCTAAACAAGCCTTCAGGAACGAGAAAATTGACCTTCAAGAAACTCAGAGCAATGTTGCAGAATTCAACACTCAAATCTGCCTTAAAACCTTCTCAGCAGCTGCTATAGTCTTTTTTATGTCATCAGAGGTATGTGCCAAGCTGGTGAACCCAGCCTCAAATTGTGATGGTGCCAAATATACACCTTCTTCCAACATTCCCCAATAGAACCTAGCAAACTTAGCCGTGTCACTCTTTTTGGCATCGGCAAAATTGTAGACTGGTCCTTCGGTGAAGAAGAACCCAAACATGCCCCTTATATGGCCGCCACATATTGCATGACCTGCTCTCTTCCCAGCTTCAATGATACCTTGAATTAGTTCACCTGTTATTTTATCCAAATACTCATAGGTTCCTGGCTCCTTAATGCGCTTCAGAGTCTGTATGCCCGCAGTCATGGCCAAAGGATTGCCACTCAAGGTTCCAGCCTGGTACATAGGTCCTGCCGGTGCCACCATCTCCATAATATCTCTCCTCCCTCCATATGCACCTACTGGCAGACCCCCACCAATGATTTTTCCTAGAGTTGTTAAGTCAGGAGTAATGCCAAAATATTCTTGAGCTCCACCATAAGACAAACGGAATCCGGTCATAACTTCATCAAAGACTAGGAGGCTATCGTTTTCCTTTGTGATTTTGCGTAAGAAATTAAGGAAGTCAGGTCTGGGAGCAACAAAACCAGAGTTTCCAACCACAGGTTCAAGGATGACTGCTGCTATCTCTCCTTTGTTGACTCAAAGAGCTTCTCAACGGCTGATGAGTCGTTGAATGGTGCTGTAAGGGTTTCGAAAGTGGCTGCTCTTGGAACACCAGGGGAGTCAGGAAGTCCTAAGGTGGCAACTCCACTACCAGCCTTAACAAGAAAAGGATCGGCATGACCATGGTAACAGCCCTCAAACTTGATGAGCTTCTCCCTGCCAGTAAAAGCACGGGCCAGGCGGAGGACTCCCATGCATGCTTCAGTGCCTGAGTTAACAAATCGAACCATTTCAATGCTCGGAACTGCATCGATAACCATCTCTGCCAGAGTGTTTTCCAGAAGACAAGGTGCGCCAAAGCTGGTTCCCTTTTTCATTGTCTCAGCTAGAGCTGCAAGCACCTGAAATGCATATAAAGCACAAAACTTTACCATGAAGCAAAGTCCAGAACGTATTAAGTTGCAATGTCAAGATATCTCAGAGTAATCTCAGACATAGTGAATTGGCAATGTTTTCAAATCTTAGTTTTCTATGAGATCATCATAAGAAACTAAATAAAATATTTCTCAAGTTTGGTGTATCCACAGGACAAAACAAAATCAACAGTAACAAGTATGATTTTGCAGGGAGAATAAACAAAGTCAGTTAAACATATCAGAGTAACAGCAAAACTATATTGGGAAAGAACATAACCCATCATCAGCATGACCAATTATTGCAGGCCCCCAGGAACCCACATAGTCAATGTACTCGTTGCCATCTATGTCCCACATGCGAGAACCCTTGACAGAATCAATCAGAATTGGCTGTCCACCAACAGATTTAAAGGCACGAACTGGAGAATTGACACCTCCAGGCATTAATTCCTATAACAAACAAAAAAGAAGATTTGAATTAATCAGTTACCACTGTTCAACCACAAATAGTCAGCAAAAAGAACGAAAACAAGTCATCATTGGAATTACAAGATATCAATTTTCAAGTTTCTAAATTCTATATTTTGTCCATTTCATTTGTTCACATTTCAGACAATGAAAATAAAGCATGTCAGAGCAATCTGAAACAGGGTGCTATATAGCATCTCTAATTACAGGTAAATGTAAGTGTAAGCAAACATCTGCAGAAAATGGCCCACAAGACAACAACACTGAACGGCGACATGCTAAATATTAGGTGAAAATTAACAAACTTATGGCTAATCAATTGAATATTTCACCAAAAAAATCCCAATCGAAAAGGCGAATTTCAAAACTTTCAAAATATCAAAGGAGAAAAAAGCCCATTGCAAGGAAATCAATCAATCACTAGGAAAAAGTATGGATTGGATCGACAGTACCTTAGCGGCAGCGAAAGCTTCTTCTGACTTTCGAAGGGAGAGGTTTTTCTTGTTTTCTCGTCGACCGAAACGGCCATTGTGACGGAATGGGCTCGAGAACGGATCGTGGAACGCGACAGCCCTAAGCTGAGGCCAGCTCCGGCGATAGCTGAAGCAGCCATTTGGCTTCTGAGTGAAGAGACCCAAGAGAAAGGAAAGCGAAGAAGAAGAAGAAGAGAAGCAGAGGAGGACGAGGAGGACGAGGAGGAAGCAGACAACGACGATAAGAATTGAGATTGTGAAATGCCTTGGTCTTAGCTTTTGGCTATGACTAAAGGCCAAAAGAGTGAAAGACGCCAAGTAGATCAAGCAATCCCGATTTTACAAATAAAATATCCAAGGAATTCACCAAATACATGCACCAACCCACCCACAAGCTCATTCTATTATTAAATATAAGAAAAGTTAATCATTTAATTTATATAATTTAATTTAATTATAATTTAATCTTTAAATTTTAATTTATTGTAATTCAATCTTTATAGTTTTAATTCAATTATAACTCAATCTCTAAACTTTACTTCTTGCATTTTAATTTTTATAAATTAAACAATTTAAACATTAATTCTTATATTTTAAAAAATAAAATTATAAAGAATAAAAATATTTTAAATTTTTTAGTATTTATAATATTTAAATATTTAAATATTTAAACTATAATATTTTGAACTTTTAACATTTATAATTTAATAATAAAATTATAAAGATTAAAATTATTTTACAATTTATTATAATATTTAAATTATTAAATATTTTTAATATTTATAAATATTATGAATATTAAAAGTTTAAAATATTTTTAATATTTTTTAATTTTATTTTTAAATATAGAGATCAATATTTAAATAGTTGAAAACTATAGAGACTAAATTATAAATGGTCAAGTTTAAGGATCGAGTTACAACTGAATGAAAATTATAAGAATTAAATTACAATGAATCAAAATTCAGGAGCTAAATTATAATTGAGTTCAAAACTACAGGAATCAAATGATTAATTTTTTTCTTAAATATAATTAAAATTAGAGAAAAATATTTTGTCTTCTATTTTTATATAAATTTTTAATTTAATTCTTTAATTTTATAAAATATCTTTGAGTTCTCTAATTCTAACACTATTAGTTTTAAATAATTTTTTCTATCAATCATTATTATCTTAAAAAATAAAACTTATAATATATCAACATTTAACAATATTTTGTCAATATTTAAAAGTTTAATATAAAAAATTTTGAGAAAAAACTAACAATGTCAAGATTAAAAATTTGAAAAGATATTTTATAAAATTAAGGTATAAAAATAAAACTTTATGCAAACTTTATCTTGTTCTTAAAATTTTTTAAAAAAAAAAAAAAATTGATTATGTTAAAGTAAAAATAGTTTTAGAATTAAAAAAAAATGAGCCAATAGTAATGATAGCTGGGACTTAATGGTGATGGCTTATATAATAATAATTGTTCAATGTCAATGTAATTTTAAAAATTAAATGTAATATATTTTAAAAATAAAAAAATAAAATGAAAACAATTCTAAGATGTTTCTATTTTTACTTTTAAAAAAAAAAAGAGAACATTTTTTTAAAATAATTGAATTAAAAAAATTATCTAAACATGTTTTTTTTTATCTTTTTGTCTTTAAAAATGAAAAACTACTTCTAAAAAAAAAACCAAACAAGTTCTAAATAATTTTATAATTATTTTTTTGACTTTACGATAACTTCATTTATTACTTTTTCTTTCTTAAAAATAATGTATTAGAATTTCAATAGTCATTATTAGATGTACTTATATAAGATATTTAATAAGATATAATTAAAAAGATATAAAAATTTAAGAGATTAAGGTTTTACCCCCATTTTTTTAAAGTTATGAATTAATTATCATGTCCTATATTGTGGTATGAAGGGAGTACATTATATGGTTTCTTTTTTCATATAAGCCAAAATAACAATTTTTAAGAAATATTTATGACATCTTTTCTCAATTGCACTTCATTAAATGATAATATCATTAAATTAGAGAAAAATAATGGATTAATCATAAGGGTGTTTAATTCAAATTTTTTAATTTTAGACATAATTGTTAGAATTAACCAACAGTCTTAAATTATGTGAGTTGGCTAAAATTTGTTTATATTTAAAATGGAGTAGCACATAGCTATATAATATAAATTTTATAAAAATACATTATTTATAAATTATTAAGATTATAATTTAGTTAGATTTTCTGTAAAATCATGGGAACCGGAAAAAGGATGAATTTTAAAATAATATTCAAAAAAAGAGTGACTTTTGGTGGGGGATTAGGTTTGTGAGTAGAAATTTAGGTTTATAATTTAAACCATTATTTAAAAATTTAACTAGTCAATAAACTAGAAAAATCATGAGTCACAAGTTTTACAATTTAATTGATTAGACGGGTAGTTGAATCGATGATATAATAATAAAATAAAAATAATATTTATATTTAAAAAAGGGATCAAAACAGTTAACCACTCCAAGTTTTCAAGAACTGTCGGGGTCAAAATAAGCCAACTTGAGTCAATTACTAAAATGGACTAAATAGTTGAACCAGAACATTTTCTTTTCGGGTGATAGTTTAACCAGTCTGATTGTTAGAGTCTATTCGGGTCTGAAAACAGTGTTTTAAACCATGCCTAGCTAATGTCAACCTTGTTGCTTTTTTTTCCCTTCTTTTTCTTTTTAAGTAGAAGGAGCAGAGAATATCTTCACAAAGACTTAGAATAATGGATAAATATCTTTTAACTAATTTATTACACGTACGAGAAGGTTGATTCAACCATTAATAATACTAGAGTTCCTTTGTCAAGATTTCTGGCTACTTGAAAAGTAACTTTCGACTATAGAAAAAAGATTTCTGACGACTTGATCGGTGATTTCTTGGTGACTTAATTAAGAGCGTGATTTCTGATCTTGTTTCTTGCATTTTCCAGCATCGGATGAAGCTCGACAGGAGTACAAAGCACAACAGAGTCTTCCTGATACAATAGTCACGCGAGAAGTACTCAGCAGCAGATGATTTAGGTGTTCTCTTGGCTGGTTTTGCTTTTGATATGTTGACATTTCCCTCCCAGAAACCATGATGCCTTGATCGTTGAATATTTTGATTGTTTTTTTAATTGGGATTTCTCCGGTTCCTCTGATTATTGCGCCTACTTGGTTTGCCTCTTGGAGCTCATTAAGTTTGTTTTCAAGTTTATTTAGGGAGCTTTTTGGCTCAATCTCCTGTTCTGCTTTTACTTTGATTTGTCTGGGGTTTGTTTTCAGTAATTTGTTCCCAGAATCTTGCTTTAGACTGGTTTGTGTGATCATTCTTCAAGATAAATCAAACTTCCTTATAGGCTAGATAGATTGTATTTTTGAGTTTATCAACGGTAGAATCGTTAATTAGGGCCCAACCATGGGCCGGCCTTTTTAAGCTCAAAAAAATCTAAGATCAAGCTGATACTTTAAAGTGTAAAATGACAATTCGAGCTTAAAATGCCAACTCTAAAATAAAATGGTTGGCCCTTTAGGGTTAAGACCAGTCTTTTTATACTATTTTATAATTTTTTGAATTTTAATATTAAAAAAATTATAAAGATTAAGTTTCCTCTGGTTACTTCAAACCTTTGAGAGGTGAAATGTTTACCCCTCACTATACCAACTTTCTAAAGCTTCAATAAACTCAAATGGTGCTAAAAATGAACCTCACTACATCTATACCACAAGAATTTCATCATTGTCTAACTCTTGAAGCTTTATCAATATATAACTCCACACACTCTATTTTTACTAACTCATAATCACTACCCATTCATACCTAATAGGTTCATTAAATTCCATTAATGTATCTTATCATTAATAACATCCCAAATCATCATTAATGCACTTTAACCTCTCCCAACTACTATATTTATGTAAATTTTTAGACATTAAATGCTCCCATGTACTAATCACTTCTAAAATCATCAATGTGATGTTCTAATATATTAAACAACTTCTATTATACTTATTTTAACTAATGGAATCGGACACATACTCCTATGGACTAAAAATCCATCTCCCAAATCAAACCCTATCATCAATCATCAATAATGAGGGAGAGAAAGGAAGAATAAGACACCATAAACTTATCTTGAGTGTTTGAGAGCTTTAAAACATCAATAATGGAAGCCAATGAGCGTGCCCTAGCAGAGCTCCTATGTTTTTTTCTTTTCTCCCTCTTGTCT